TTCTTTTCTTCTTCCTTTTCTGACTTTCAGTTTTGGATTTTTGTTTTTTCCCGTCACTAAGAGACACATTCTCCTTATTCTTACCTGAGAAGGGATAAAGACAAAAAAAATTGTGTTTTCATGGGAAGTGGGTGCACAGTCCACTTGGTAATTCTCTCTGCAGATCTAGAAAATCTAGTCTGAAAATCTGGCTCTAACTAATGGCAACTTTGACAAATCCAGGGGTTTGTTGCTCAGGACTAATATAATAAAAACAATTTTCATCTTCTTATAAAATGTTCACACTCATCAGACTGGGTTACATGTAAGTTATTTAAGTCATCATGGGCCAGAATTGTACCAAAATTGAATGTGCACCCACTTTTCTAAGCTCATAAGGTTTTATGGCAAAAACAACTGAAAATTCAATTCTAAAGACAGACTAAAATGCTGTAAATACTGTTTATTTGAACAAGTAGAAGTAGTTTGCAACTCTTGAGTAATAAAGATACTAAATTACTCTTTCAGATGTCGATTTGTTGCACAAGATTCTTCAGCTGAGATCAATTGGATTGTCTGGGAACTGTTTGGGTCTTTGCATAAAGCTCATAGCTGGTACAGACTAGACGTTAAGCCTCTGTAAGGGGCATTGCAAAACACTGAGACCTTGAAGGTGGTCCTTAATAGTGTCGCAGGATCTAGAAACAAAGATTAGAATACTTGAAATTATTCCTTTAATTAAAAATTGGATACCTATTTCTACATAGAAGCTACATCTGTTTGTTGTAATAGCAAATTTAAAAGGGTTTTCCTTTTAAGAAAAATTCAACTGATAGCATACTGCGACATGCAACGTTGTTTTGGAACAGGCATTTCATTAACAAATAGGTCTCACGTGTAGTAAACATTCAAACTACACAAAGTACAGTACACCTATACTTCTGGTGAGTGCCAAAAAAACCCTGACCTAAGCAAGGCAAACAGATTGGAGACCTAATGAGGCTATTGCTATTGCGCTCTCCTGTTTTTTAGGTAATTTAGCACCTCACATTGAGAGTCCTGCACTTACATATATTCATCATTTAAATGCATTAACTTTTAGGTTGTTTCCACATTTTTCCGATTGCTTTTCCACTGCCAAGACGTGTTAGAAGACCTTTACAATGGTGAAACGCTTGTTAAGAATTATCTTGACAATATCTATTTCTAAAACAAAGTCACGAAAATAATACTGTACTTCCATAAAGTGCCACGAGACTCAGGTTCAAAATCATAATGTCTTACAGTTAAGATTTTTTTGTTGATTTTTGGTATTACACTAAATACCTGTAGGAGAAAACTAAATGAATGTCCTAAAATTCCTGAGTGATTCTGCGCTAACATGGACAAATTCAGATGGCTCAGTTTTCGCACAGTGGATCTGCTCTTCATTTCTTCGAAGACAGGTTAGATTAAATCAGTGAAAACTTACAGTATTATTATTTAGAAGTTTTGGTAAAGAAGTTGGATTTTTGGAATAAATGCTAAAAATTCTTCACAAATTTTCTTTCTGAACTATGAATAGAATTGTACATTAAGGTCTAATTACTTACAAATGCTCAGTGAGCTATAAATACCTTGTAAAACCACTAAAAGCAACAAGTTTTATAGCAGCTACTGAGATTTGACAAGGAGACTTTATTCTAGGTTCTAGGAATGAAAATGAGGAAGGCAGAAATACAGATTGATATTCATTTCCCATGTCAAGCTTGCTGGGCTGGTAGCTGAAAAAAGTAATACATTTTTTGCTGTAGTAATACTATATAATTTAGTATAATGTTATCCTGATCTATTTTATATGCAAATATATATTTGCAATACTATATCTGTTATCTGTATATCGTTTCTCACAGTATATACTTCAAAGATTCTTTAGTTGTGGTGTGTTAGCGATTCGGTTTATTACAATTTGAAAGCAGGTTATAAATATGTGCGTGTAACTGAATTCATTAGAAGAATTAAAAGCTATTTGGAAGATATGTAACCATTGCATGCAGTTTTAATCTAGGTTTTGAAGTGTTTTTAGTACTTGGGAAAATGAAGGCAAGTTTCTTTACAAAAGCTTAATTTTCTACTGAGAACTTTTACCATACTATCTTACAGTGGTTGGACAGAGATTTGTGGATGTCCAGAGGAGATAAAAAAATTGTGATTTTTAGCATGAAGATGAAACAGAAGTCGTATTCATGTAAAACTTAAGTGGATATTTCTGCTGGGGATTTGAGACTTGTGTTTCAAGCACTTGGGAAAAAATTAATTCTTTTTTTTATTTATAGCATAAGAGTGATGTGAAATGGTGGTTTTATGGTTGTGTTACATGGTCATGAAAGCATAAGCTCTCCTGTTATTTGCAGTCTATGTTAAATTACTTTGCAAGAGTAATAGTCATATGTTTCAGATGTGTTCATAATGTACACACATGTGTACAAGCACAGTAAGTTCCAATTTGCACGTGCTTAATTAAAAAAGCTTGTTTTAGGCAAGTGTAAAGACTACTGAGGGTAAATGTTCCTTTATATGCCAGACAGCCAAGAAGCTATAAAGCCGTTTGATTGTACTTACGTAATATATTTGGTAAAATAGTGTCTAATTGATTTTAGGAACCTACCTTATTTTTAAGAAACGACTTCAGCACTTGAGACAGATTCATTTCAGTTGTGTAAGTACTGCTGAAAACATTTTCTTGTATCTGAAGAGAACAAAATTCTGACAGCAAATAAAAGGAGTCTGGATTCTCTTCTTCCTTAGTTTACAATCAGTTGAACTGTTTTACATCAATCTCATTTGATTTCATACCCACAGTAGTCCTTTTCCTTGAATTTTGTCATCTGCCTGACTCTTCTCATTATGTTAGCATTTTTCTTTCTCCTTTTTTTTGATTTCTCTGTCCCCCTTTAGCTGATGTTTTCTTTTTCCTTCTGGGTATTAAGCAGGATATAAAAATTAAACCTTTGCCCTTAGTTTAAAGCTCTTGTTATCCGTCATGCTAACCTCAGTCACAGCAAGTAAATAGCTCACATTTTAAAGCAGAGACTATTTGTTACATTTCACTGCTTGGACATCTCCTGGTTCAGGCTTTGAAACCTCCTTTTCTTCATTATCTAGTCGTGCTTTTACCTTCTTCTCTGGATATCAGCAATGCAGTAGGTACAGAGGATACTGAAGATCACCTTGAGCTTCTTCAGCAGTTTCTCTAGCTAAGCGGTCTCCCCTGACTCCTTCAGTAGGAGCGCTGAAGAATGTGTCTGGACATCAAGGACAAGACGTGGGTTGTTGAGGTTTTTTCTCAAGTCCCCCGAGTACCTTTTGTTAAACTCCAGGTCTGCATCTCTTATTTTTCTCCATGCTTTTCTGTTTTCTCTAGCCTTTCTTTAGAATGGCATCCACCTGTCTTATTTAGATTCCCATACGGTGGGATGTAACCTGCTGTGCCGAAGTATCCCCAAATGCAATTTTATGTCTCAGTTCCCTTTTCCTGCAGAGTCCTACTTTCATGTGTCACCAGTTTCTGAAGAGGTTTTGTGTTCTATAGATCAGCTTTTCAGAGGTACAGGGAAGGGATATCAGGGTGGTGATTATCAGTCTCGCTGTTAAGGTACACTTTTGAGTTGTCAGATCTTGTTTTCAGAATAGCGTTACAAGACAGACCTTGGACAGAATGGATCACCATGTGAAAGCTAAACCGCATTGGGAGAAGAAGTATTTG